AAAAATTAATTTAATTATAATTTAAAATTGATTTTAAAAATTAATTAAATCCCAATCCTATCATTTATGATAAACCACTGTTTATATTCTGACCCCTGTTTTATCAGACATTTTGATTTTCATAACTATATATAAATTTATATTCTTTTAATAAATTGGAAAATATGCAGACTTTTTTCTAAAGTGTTTTTAACGCATGACATGTATGTAGAAAACTTTGTTAAACGCAAATGCTCATCTGCACATCGAAAAGAATTATTATAAAGCTAATACTCACAGATGAACCATTCAGATGATGAAGTAACAAGTCAGCCCGTCAGCTGTGTCCTGGAAGCCCCTGCTTGCCCTTTCCCATCACAAACCCCCCCTTCTCCGCGCCCCCAAGGTTAACACTGTGTTGACTAATCACGTCTTTGCTCTTACATATACCTTTTCTTTATAGTTACCACCTGTGTATAAATTCCTAAACACTATTGAAATTAGATCTAGTTTGAAATGTATTTAATGGAAGCATAAAGTAAATGTTATTTTGGTCTTGCTTCTTTTGCTCAATATTATATTTGTGAAATCATCTCACGTTGCTGCGTATAGCAGTAGTGTGTTGATTTTAATTCCTGTGAAGTATTCCATTGAATAGTTATGCCACCATTTATTTATTCACACTACTGCTGATGGACATTTGGGCTGTATCTGCTTTGGCTGTTACAAATAACGTTGCTATAGACTTTCTTGTACACATCTCCTGGGACCAGTGTACGAGCATGTCTTTAGGTGTGGAATTGGAGGGTCATAAGGTCTGTGTGTCTTCAATTTTAGTAAGTAATGCCAAACAGTTTTTGAAAATGGTTGTGCCAATTTACACTCTCCACATTAGTGTGTGGAGTTTCCAGTTCCTCTAAATCCTCACCAATGCCTGATCATCATTTTATCAAATTTTAGCCATTGGTATCTCATGGTGATTTAAATTAACATTTTTCTGATTATTAATAAGGTTTAACAGCTTTTCAAATTTATTTTTGGTCATTTGAATAGCCTTTCCTGTGAAAACTGTTCACTACTCTACTTATTTTTCTTTGGGGTTGCCAGTCTTTTAATTGTTTTGTGGAAACATTTTATATGTTCGATGCACCAGGAGTTGGCAAGCTATCATCCATGGGCCAAATCTGACCTGCCATCTGTTTTGGTAAACAAAATTTTATTGAAACTTAGTCACATCTACTGTCATGCTGCAAGGCAGAGTTGAGTGGTTGTGACAGAGACCATACGGCCTACACAGGCGAACATATTTACCATTGGGCCCTTTACCAAAAAAAGCTTGCTGACTCCTGCTTTACACAAACCCCTTGTTGGGTAAATCTTTGGCAGGTATCTTCTCCCTCTCCATGGCTTGACTTTTGACTTTATTATTGGTATTTTCTAATAAACAAGATTTCCTAATTTTAATTTACTCATTGGTAGTGTTTTATGTATCTCAATTAAAAATAAATCTTCTGTGTCCTAAAGACATGACGATATACTCCGACGTTGCTTTCTAAGAAAAAATTTTGATTTGCCTTTCACCTATAGTTTTACAATGCAGTTGGAATTAATTTTTGTGAAGAGTGTGAGATAGGAGTTAACTCCGTTGTTTTTCCTGTATGCAAACCCAAACGTCCCAGCCTCATTTATTAAAAAGACTCCCTTCCCCCCCACCTGCGCGATACCACCTTTGTCAAAAACAAAGTGTTCAGATGGACATGGTGTATTTTGATACTCTGTTCTGTTCCACTGGCATATTTGTCCATACTTGCATGAAGATCATAATAATTTGATTACTGTAGTTTTATCATAAGACTTGATAACCTAGATGAAGTCCTGCTACCTTGTTATTTTCCAAGGGTATCTTGAGTTTTCTTTACCCTCTGAATATCCATATAAACAATAGAATCCACTTGCCAAATTTCACTGAATAAATGGAATTACAGTTAGGATTCCTTGAATCTACAGATCAGTTTGTGGAGAATTGGTATAATACAATATTTAATTTTTTAATGCATGAACTTGATATAAATATTTATTTTTCTATTTATTCAAGTATTCTTTAATTTCTCTTCCCAGAGAGTGCATGGATCTCATTTACCTCTTCCTGACTTCTAGTTATTATTGTTGTTTATTTAAATTATGCATATGTTTAAAGCCCATTCATATTATCATTGTTTTATACATTATTTATTTGAAGCTATGCACACATTTATTAATTTTGTTGTTCTTAATTTGTTCCTGCTTCTCCATCCTGTTATCTGGGATTTTCCCCCTTCTCCTTAAAAATTACCCTTCAGTATTATCCTTCAGTTTGGTATGTTAATTAAAAAAATCTCAGCTTTTGTTTTTATACAAATGTTTTGATTTCCTCTTTTTGTCCAAAAGATACTTTTGCCTTGTATATGTTTCTCAGGTTTGTTGTTATATCCTTTCAGCACATTAAAGCTATCTTTCCATTATGATCCAGCTTCCATTTTTTCTATTGAGAAATTAGGTAGCAGTTTAACTTTTTCTTTTTTGATGCTTTCTTTCTTTCTTCTTTTTATCCTCTCCTGACTGCTTTCAGATTTTCTTTTTGTCTTATTCTTTCTTTCTTTCTTTGTGATTGTATTATAATCAGTGTAGACGTGGAGTTCTTTTTTTGTCATGCCTGTAATGCATTGAGCTTATTGAATCTGGGGAGTAGT